TCGCAGCTGAGTTATGGCAATCCTGTAGGGTTCTCAAGGCAAGAGGCATTCAGAGGTGGTTTCCCAATGCCTGTCTCTGCATAGCAACCCTGGACTTAGGGTTGCCAAGTCCTCCCCTGGCAACTGATGGGAGTTGGAGGGGTAGGGTCGCCAGATCCAGGCTGGGAAACTCCTGGATGTTTGGAGTTGGAGCCTGGGGAGAAGAGGAACCTCAGAGTCCACCCTCCAAAGCTGCTATTTTCTCCAGGGGAACCGATCTCTGTAGCCTGGAGATGAGCTGTAATTCCACAGGATCCCCAGGTCCTACCTGGAGCCTGGCATCCCTACCTGGACTTCCTTGGTGAACTCCCATTCAAGTACTAACAAGGGCTGACCTGCTTCGCTTCTGAGATCTGACAACATCAGGCTAGCCTGGGTAATTCAGGTCACCCCTTCCCACCAAAATACACATTCTCCTAGAACAGAAGATTAGACATAACCAGATGAAACAAATGGTCTATCTAGTCCAGCATCTTGTTTCCAACAGTGGTCAGACAGGTACCTCAGGGAATCCCGCTAGCAGCAATGGCAGGAAACAGCCCTCAACTGCTAATTGATCCCTAGCATCCAAAAATCAAAAGCATTCTATCTCTTGGAAGGCCCCGTGATATTACAATTAGGGATGCGCACAAATTGAGAATCATAGGATCATAGAGTTGGAAGGGACCTCAGGGTTGTCTAGTCCAACCCCATGCACGACGCAGGAAATTCACACATACCTCCCCCTCCACATGCATTGTGACCGCTGTTTCACACCCAGAAAACCTCCAGGATTGCTTCCTGACCCCAAAGTGGCAATCAGCATTTCCCTGGGCGTGTAAAAAAGGGCCACAAGAAATAAGCACTGAGGCAACCCTTCCTGGCCTCCCTCTCATGATCTGCCTAAATTCACAGAATCAGCATTGCTGTCAGATGGCCATCTAACCTCTGTTTGAAAACCTCCAAAGAAGGAGAGCCCACCGCCTCCCGAGAAAGCCTGTTCCACAACCGCTCTAACTGTCAGGAAGTTCTTCCTAATGTTTAAACTGCCCAACAGAGCCTGCAAAGGAGCCAAACCCCACTGAGTTCCCAACCTGGAGCTAGCAATTCCAGCCTGCATTCCCTACTAGTGGCGCGGGGGACCTGGCAATCCTGTTTGTAGCACTGGCAATATAAACACTAATACACATTTTGCCCCCTTCTAAATAACTTTGCCATATAAGTTTTTTTCTTTCTTCTCCTTTACTTCTTTATTATGGGGGCCATTTATTACTGAACACGCTCCCATAGTTTCTACTCTGTCCCTGGCATATTACATTTTATTTATTATTTATTAATTTATTTGTATCCCACCTTTCTGTATAAAAGAACACTCATGGTGGCTAACAAATTTGAAACACTGTATTATAACACAGCCATAAAAATAAGCTATTCATCAATTAAACAGTATCAGCTAACAAGTTTGTTCATTTTTATTATTTATTTATTATTTATTTATTTTTACAGGCGGACAGCCAGGGGGTGGGGCTGGAAAAGCAGAGAAAGTCAGCCAAGATGGCAAGGTCTTCCCAGGCAAAAAGCAGCACCTCCAGGTCACAGCTCCTTCCCTTTAAAGGTAGTCAGGGTGTGGGGCTGAGCAAGTGGAAAAGCTCAGCCTAAAAGGAGAGACTAAGCTGATCCAGCAAATTTCCATCAGGATTCCCAAGGGATGAGCTTTCCCACTCTTGTCCGCTTTCCCCCATGCAGGGGTCGTTTCCTCTGCCCCCATGCATCATTTAAAAGCTGCTCATATATATATATATATGCGCACCAGGAGTGTATTACAGATTGGTGAAGTGTCCACCTCTGCTGTCCAGGCTTGTCTTGTTCCCAAACCATGTCTACAGCTTCTCTCTCTCTCATTTACAGATCCTCTGCTAAGTTTGTGTAGCCAGGCATTGCAGAAGGAACAGGGAACATTTCTAAGAAAGCTTTAATATTGTACCAAGTAGCCTAAACCTAGCTTCCAGGTAGGCCTGCCAGGTAGGCTGATTTGGAGGGTGGACTCTATGGCATCGTATCCATGCTGAGTTCCCACCCGTCCCCAAACCTTGCCCTCTCCAAGGTCCACCCCAAATCTCCAGGAATTTCCTAACCCAGAGTTGGAAACCCTACTTCCAAGACCTGAAATCCTATGCACACTTACTTACTTGAGATAATAAACCTCACTGAACTCAGCGAGTTGCATTCGACAAACCACAAATGTGAGTGCAAAATCATGGTTGGTAATCCAGGTTACTAAAATTGGAGTAAAGGGATATAATTTGGCATAGAAAATAATAATGCAAGAGCAACACAAGCTTTGCAGTTGGGGTATTCATATCGGTTGTTTTTATTGTGGAAACATATCTGCAACTTCTAAGGCAGCGTGGCTTGTACCAGCAGTATACCAAATATTGTCAGTACTTTCTTCCCAGCAGCTGGGTGACACTCCAGACCTAGGGATGGCAAAAGCCATTGAAGTGATTCAGCACAGTGCAACTGAAAGATGAACTGTAAAAGAGACAGGTGACAGTTTTATAACTCCCAAATATCTGTGAAGTGATGGACATCCCACTATTCTTTTCAAAGCTGACTTATCTTTTAACCTATCAGAAAGGCTCATTTTCTACAGCAAACGACTGTCAGTAGACAGTCAAGGGAGCATCGGCAGCACTGAGAAACAGTTTAATGGACTCTATTGTGTTGTGCCCAAGATGGTGAAAAGAACAACATCTCTTTATCATCGAACTGCATATATATATTTCCCCCCCCAGAAATCCTAGCTTTTCCCTAGACAAAGTATCCCCTAATAAATTTATTACTGGTCCCCTCAATCTCTTCTGAAAACATTGTTTTTATTTAACACACAGTTCAATCTTGTAAAATGCAGGCCAGGTGACACTGAGCTACTATAAATATTTATAGGGAATTATATGGCATGTTATCAGTTGGAAGGTGTCGCCCAGACCCCTTTTCCCCACAAACTGCTGTTGATGCGGTAGAAAGAGTATGAAGGAAATCCTCAGGGCCATTATATCCAGCAACAATGCATGCTTGACACCAAATGTTAGATTAAACTTCTTCTTAATGGGAACTTGGAAAACGTTTGAAGAAAGATGAAACAGCAGAGGAAACAATTTATGTTTTTTGGGACTGGCAGTGAACTGCATATTGGAACAGGAGGCCTCATTCAACATAATATTTCGCATTCACATTGCCACTGTTTGAAGCACTGAGGCAAAACCACTTACCTCATTTTGGGGTGGCTTCCATGGGTTTCAAAGAGCACCTCTAAGTTTTGATGGAATTTAGCATATTTTGCAAAATTATTTGCTGTCTTATCCTCTCTGGCGCTCGTAGTTTGCCCACAATGCTGGTTTTGACAATCATGCCATGTCTGAAGGGCTGATGTCACAAAGAACTTGTAACAATCAAAACCATGTTGAACAGTCACAGCCAAATAGATTAAATCATAGGGTAGGGGAAGGAGGTTGAACATTGTGAGAACAAAGAAGGGGAAGAGAAATGGTGCAAAGGAGCAGCAGCCCAAGCCATGTGAGTGTTCGGCAATGTATTTATTTTTATTTAGCTGCTGTGCTGCACTTATTTTTGAAGCAAATACCAAAAATAGAGAATATTTAGGATAATTTAAACAGATTCCATAAATGCCTATATGTGGAAACAGATGACACTTTGGTATTCACATAACTTTTCTGAAGCCAAATCCATCAGCTTCATCAGGCATGAAAAGCTGCTAGCTGGGACTATCTGTCTATGTAATCACTTATAACATCACCTCAAAAACTGAACACCAGCATGCCAAAATAATATGCGTAACTTTTTCCCATTTGTACCTTTTGTATAATAAGCCTCTGTGCCACTGAGCATATGTTCTTAACTAGATTGTCATATCTATCTACTGTTTATACTTTGTATGACATTAAAAGTGAATTCTTTTATAATGATCATGTAAATACTTAGCATTTAAATATGGTTGTATCCCACCACTGTTCCATTGAAGGAAGAGGGAGAATAGGCATTGTTGTCCACTTTCTTTTCTCATGGTAGCCATCCGGCCCACATAGGGTTGCCAACCTCTAGGTGGCCCCTGGAGATCTACCGCTATTCCAATTGATCTCCAGGCAACCAGGATCAGTTTCCCTGGAGAAAATGGCTGCTTTGGAGGGTGGACTCTATGGCATTATACCCTGCTGAGGTCTCTTCCCAACCCCCCCTTCCCCAGGCTCCACTAGGGTTGCGAAGTCCGGACTTACCTGCCGGCGGGGGACTTTGGCTTTGCTCCCGGCGCGTGGCTGCCATTTGAGGGGGAAACTCTATGTTTTCCCCTCAAATGGCTGTGCCCCGCCCCCAGCATGCCCGGCGTCATGACGTCACTTCCCTGTGATGTACACGCGGGGGTGGGGTTTCCCCCGGGGCCCGATTCCGCGGGGGCGGAAATTGGGCCTCCAAAGCGGGGGGAAATCTGCCCCCCGGGGGGATTTGGCAACCCTAGGCTCCACCCCCTCCAAATCTCCAGGTATTTCCCAACCCAGAGTTGGTGACCCTAGGCCACATTGTCTTTTGTCTGTGAGAGTCCCCCTAGCAATTCATTTTTACAGGTCACGTAGTACAACCGTCCAAAGAACATCACTATAGATTAGACTTGTGATCTTCAAGTAGCAAATATAAGCTAGAATCCTAAGGACATTTTCCTGGGAGAAAGCCTATTGAATATAATGGGACTTAACTCTGAGTAGACCTGCCTAGGATTGCTCCCATAGCATAGTGACTTCTGCTGGGGGAAAAACAAATCACATTTTGGGAAGCCTGGTTCATATTCCACAGTAAAACAAAACAAAAAAAATCGACTCAAAAAATAAATATTCAAATTACCCCCTCCCCTATGCAAAGGTCTTTGTATTGCCAAGACACTGTGCTTGCCATTCTTTAAAATGACTTACCGAACATCTGTACAGGTTATACATGAGATGCGCCGAGTATTTGTTGTAATGAGGTTCAGTGCCACAGATGTCTCACTGTCAGAGGTTGGGTGTGCTGCACATTTAAAGTAGAATTCCTGCAGTATTAAAGGAGATAAAAGGAAGATTATGTACCTCCACTTCATGTCCTCTCTTTATCTTAGTCTAAGTGAAGTTTGAGGCAGTAGATAAATCACTACTGCCAGAAAAGGAGAGGATACTCATTAGGGGTGTTTTAGAAAGAATGCCTCACAGTATCTTTCTACAAGGTATACATTTTGCTCACTAGACATCTTAAGGAAATATATTAGCTTACATAGATTCTGTGCTGTCTTGGGGAGAACAAAAATTATACAGAAAGACAGAAACTGTTATTATGGCCCCACAAGGAAAGTTCCATATCTGGAAATTTCATTCTGCATGTGGATTTCCCAGTGCATAAAAAAGAAGCTGTTATTGGGAGAGGAGATTGCTCCTATCCATGTGCTAATTGAAACAGAACCTTGGAAGAGTCTGTTAGGGTCAGGCCAGGGTTATATCTGAATCCAGGCTGAGTTCAAGTTCCCTGAGGTCTGGAGGATGGGTGCAGATAGATCCAAATTAGACACTGACTAAAAGGATGTCTTTCATCTATACCTTAGGGTAACACTATATTTGAAAATATGTTTATATTTTCTGTTCTTTTTTGCAACAAAATTCATAGAAGCAGTGATTGGGAAAGGGTGATGAGTGCATTTTGCTAAGAAAAGTGGATATAATCGTACACGCATGTATCAAGTAATTAAGAAATGGAGCCACAAGAGGCACAATTCCTTCACTTTACATTCCATTGTGAGTAAAATGGTGTATCACTGACATAAACAGCAAAAATATTTTTAAACTCAGTTAAGGTCAAGATGCCATGGTATAATCTTATAATGAAACAGAGAGAATGGAAACTAAACTGTGCAAACACGAAGTGAAATGTTGCATGTCAAGAGGTCAACAGACAAGAAATTTGTATGACCATTTTAGAAGTACAGTAGACGGGGGGAAAACAACATTTCTTTCCCAGGAGAGGGTGTCGAAATGACCAAAGGAACAGAGCAACAGAATGAAAGTAACACAGCTAAAGAGTATGCCCCTTGAGAGCTTCTGTGCAGAAAAATACAAAGTACAAAACAACTCACAGCGCTGTAAACCCAGTGGAAGTGTCTACCTCTTTGGGTATGACAAACAGTGAGCAGAACCTATAAATATCCCAACAACAGAAAACAGAGAGAGCAGAGACAGAACACAGTGTGCTGAGTGTTGCACACTATAAGGAATACAACTTTCTTGTGGAGAGGCCTTCTGGTTTGTTTTTTGGCAGATCTGCTTTCCAGTCTCCTTGCTGCTTGTCAACAGCCAAATAATTTACAGTTACTGAAGTTGGAAATGCAGCTGCGGGATGTAATTTGATCCTATTCATGTAAATCAGGCATTCACAACATTTGTCAAATCTATAAATAGCAAGAGAACAATGTAAGGAAATCTCATCATCACCTTTTGTTCTTGATGGCATGCGCGCCACGCTGGCTACACTGTTCATCAAGCTTGTATCTCAAACAAGTGGGAGGCAGCCCAGGCAGATGAGAGGATTGCGGGCAAACTGGAACTTGGTTATAAGCACTGGCTTGCCTATCTGGCAGGACAAAGTGCTTAAATGAAAATGCCAGGGTAGAAAGTTGACCTTGGGCACATGGATGCCTTTCCCCCCCAATTTCAGATTAGATGCGTCATCAACATTGAGTAGGTATCACCAAGTTCAATATACTGTATTAATTTCAGAGATCACCCTACAAGGGACTGTGCCTGAAACTCCACCTCTTCAAACACACTATTGTTTTATACTCGCCTGGTTTCTGCCAATTACCAAACACTTTTGCCAGACACCAGAAAGCTGCTCTTCTCTCATAGACCATGCCCCCTCACCTGGGCAAACCTTGATTGTAAATTGAAACGTGGTAAACTCTGGTACCTTATCGAATGGGTTGATTTCGGTCCCCAGCACCGCGAATGGGTGGAAGAAGGGGATATTCGGGCCCCTTACCTGATCCGTAGTTTCCACAAGAGGTTCCCGGACAAACCGGGAGGTCTCCCGCCCAGCCCGGGAGATCTCCCGCCCGGCCCGGGAGGTGTGTTGTAAGTGTATTTTAAGGGGGGCAGTATGTCAGCAAGCTGCCATTCTGTTTTCTGTGACCTCTGTGTACATATCCTTTCCCTGTTGCACCCGGCTTATTTTCTATCATCCTGCTCCTGCGTTGGAATGCACAAGATAACTGCTGGAGGTTGTGTGGGGGAGAAGAGGCTGTAATGCTTGCCTATTGCTTTTCTCATGAGAACTGCACCTGTGTTTTGTCTGATGTCCTGCCTGTTTCCCATGGACTGGGCGCGCAACCGTTTCATTAGCCCGCCAGCGGGAATGTTATTCATTGGATCTGTATCTGTTTGAATTTCCTTTATTATGCTTGACCTAACTGTGTATCCCCAGTTCTAACAAAGAACGTGTTTGAGTATGTCTTTAACGCTTTGAAATAAATTTTGCTTTTCCTGAAAACGTGGATTTATTCTCGATGCTTGGGGATCCAACATCGACTGGGTTTCAAGCAAGGGAACCTTTACCTTACTAACCTAACTCTGAAACTCAGCATCCTAGCAGTACTGTACTGTCCTTACCCAGACTTGTAAGGTTTGTATTAGATGAGATGGAGCCTGCCCACCCAACCCAGGGTCTTACAATGTAAGGTGGTCATTTTACCTTCCCCATACGCCTTCTATACATTAGCGGGGGTGGGGAGAGAACTGGGGTTGGGGAATGTTGTTAGGGACAGAAAAAAACATTTTGTGCTTCCTTGTTAATAGAGGTGGTTAGATCTCAGGCCTTCTCTATGGTGGGACACATTTTTTGGAACATTCTTCCCACAGAAGAGTGTCAGGACAGTGCCCTTGCATGTTTTAGACATCTAGCTGAGATCTTTATTTTTGGGAGGATACACAGTTTGATGGCTTAGGAATTATTTTGCCTTTATCTTGCTGTTTAAAAGCTCTGCTGTGTACATTTTACTGCCTTTCATGACAGATTTTAGGCTTTGATTTTGGTACTTTAAATACTTGGGATTAATTTCCACTAAAACCAGTGGGACTTTCTTCTAAGGAGGTGTGCGTGGGATATAGGGTTGCCAGGTCCTACCTGGCAAGCATGGGGGGGGGCCCTCCCAGGTCCCGCCCAGTATCTTTTGCCGCACATGTGAAGCATTCGGGGCACAATGTCATCACCTGGAAGTGACATCATCACATCTTTGCTGAGGTTGGGTCTGAGAAGCTGCCAGACATGTGGTGGTGGCAGAAGGTCTCTGAGGCAGCAGCAGTGACAGAGCGGCATGGGGACACCAACTGGCCAGTGGTGGTTGGACCTGCTGACACTGTTCATTGGGCCTCCAGTGTAGCATCATACAGCACACTACAAGATGGACCTCCAATGAATGTAGCATCATACAGCACACTACAAGATGGGAGATCTTGTATGGCACTATACAATGCTATAGATGAGTAGTGGCCTGATAAACAGCACTGGGCCCCTTGGGGGCAGCTGAGCAGGCTGTTGAAGGTTCAGGTCCCTGCTCATGACCACCAGCAAGCAAAGAATGTGCCAAGCAGCACATGTTTGAGCCTCCCTATCTTCTCCTCTGACACCACTGCTCTGCCTTGAACAATGAAGCATGTTTTTTGCCTGTTTATATTGCCCCACTATGCTACAAACAGCATTTGCTTTCACTGAAAAGAGCCCACCAAATTAATCATAAAGTCAACTCCCTGTTTTATGATCTAAGCCAATTTTGCCCTTACTTTTAATGAGTTCTTTTATGGGTTGAGTACACCCATGTAATTTAAGATTTGCACAGGGAAGTATTTCATATACGCTCTTTTAAGAAACACACAATTCGGTCCTCTTAAAAACAATTTTGTAATTTTGTTCTTTATTGTGATTTTCATTTCCCACCATACCTGTCTATGTGGTTGTAATTTAAAATCTGAAAATATATAGCATTGTCATTCTTGTACATTATTGCTTGCCATCAACAAAGCATAATAATGTGAAAATACATCTGTTCAAGCAGAACTATGCTTATACTTTGAAATCTTTTCTTATAATGGGCACAAGGGCTTTCATTAACTCAGTGTTAGTGGCAGATCAGAAACTAAAACAAAAACCTTTTGCTCCTGAAAAGGACTGTCAGCCTAAACTCCCTGTCAGAGTCTGGGGTCTCTGGAGGTGTTATGTTTGGTGTAGTGGTTAAGTGTGCGGACTCTAATCTGGGAGAACCGGGTTTGATTCCCCACTCCTCCTGCTGATGTGACCTTGGGTCAGTCACAAGCTCAGGCACAGCTGTCCTTGAAAAACTGCAGTTTGTGTCAGAGTTCTCTCAGCCCCACCCACCTCACACGGTGTCTGTTGTGGGGAGGGGAAGGGAAAGGAGTTTGTAAGCCGCTCTGGGACTCCAAGTGAAGGGCGGGGTATAAATCCAATCTCTTCTCTTCTTCTCTTCATGTATTGAGCCCTAGCCTTTCCTCTAGCTGTACCTAGAATGGGTTGAGCTTGCTTCACGAGAACAATAGTGCGCCTGGATCCAGGAACTAACCAATAGATAAGCAGTGTAATGTAAATAGCCTATCACTGGGAGTGTGTGTGTGTTGGGTGTGGTGTTTTGCATGCTTATAAGCAGGGCTCCAGCCCTGCTGGCTTGTCTTGTAGTTTGCTGAAATCACTTATTAAACCTGAGCTGATAACTGCAATCTGTCTAGAACCCAGTATTTAACACTGGCGACAAGGCTGGGATCCTTTTGAGCCAGCCCAGTGCCCACCAGCACCGGACCGTACACTGAGCTCCAGTGCCACGCACATCACATCACTCCAAGGACTATGGCTGCTGTTCCAGGACACTTCGACACATTCAATGCCACCACGGAAGACTGGGAGTCTTACCTCTCCCAGTTCGAGTTCTTCCTTGAGTCCTCCGGGATCGAGGCAGCAGCAAAGAAGCACGCCCCCTTCTTCCGAGTCTGCGGCCACTCTACC